AAACTGCCACGCAAACTACAAAAACTCTTCTTGCATGTGCGCCTAAATATTACGCTTTCTATGCAAGGCCTTACGCCTAGTCCTATGTGTAAGTATCGGTCTGTATTAACTACACGTCGAATATCTCAGAAACATCTGAATTTTTCAAAATTTCTAATATCTTTGCAAGTTTGCATGTGTCCGTGCTGTACTGCACACGTTGTGTGAATGGTTAGCTTATCAAATTTTTCTTCGCACGTATACTAAACAACGGATAACTAATTCTGTGTTAATAGTATATATAATTGCTTTCAGCTATCTTGGACTCGCTATGTAAAGAATTTTTAGCAGTCAACGTGTCTGCTATCCTTTATCTTATGAATCATGAACAATACGGGCGATCTACTGCCTCTGCACAATATTTTCTACAACTTGCCGGATATCTTGGCATACCGGTAATGCTTTACGTCTTGTCTTTCTTCAGTCATGTTGCTCCTTGATTATTTTTTAATTAAACGTACACATTATTAGTTTTTCTTTTTTGTTTAGGTTATCGCATGGAACGCTGATAACAGTGGTCTTGAAAAACGAGCCGCTCACGCATCCTTACGACTTCAGCTGGCCCCGTCCATAGAACATCAAACAGCCGCCATGTTGTCGATCTTAGAGCGATACAAGTGGCATCAATTTAGTGTCGTCACATCTACTATTGCTGGTCATGACGATTTTATACAAGCGGTGCGTGAAAGAGTCACTGCTCTGCAAGTAAGTCGTAATTATTTATATGATTCATACTTATGTTTGTTTTATATAAATACGCCATACTTAATCATCTTTCCCAGGACCGTTTTAAATTTACGATTTTAAATGCAATCGTGGTTAAAAGAGGGTCAGATTTAAATGAACTGGTGACGAGTGAGGCGCGGGTGATGTTGTTGTATGCTACAAGGGAAGAAGCTGCTGATATTCTATCAACAGCCAGAGATCTGCATCTTACTGGAGAAAACTTTGTTTGGATTGTGACACAAAGTGTTCTTGGTTCCATGCAACAACCTAACAAATTTCCAGTTGGAATGCTTGGTATGTATTTCTTAAAATTTTATAAGTATTTTTGATGATGATTGTGTATAGTATAGAGAGGCGTTACTTTGTTGTAATCTTTTTTCTTGTTATTTATCTGAGCATATATATAATTATTGATACATTTTAACCATTGAAGTATAATGTACTTCGTACCAGAACAGACGGCGCGAACAAAATCTGTGCTGTGTACAGTGTACGGCAGTGCGGGACGCGCGTGAGGATGCGGCCAAGTCACAGAATGCGCGAACACTAATATACCTACACCAAAAAATTGCTCGGTAAAAATTGGCGTACTGTCATTGAAAAATAATGTAAAAGAGCATAAAAGAGTTGTTTTTCATGTACTTACCGGTGAAACGTCATACCTTGAATTTTTTTTGGTTTTCCGAGAATGATTGGAACAATCTTTTACGACGCAAGAAGACATTTTGAAAATTTAAAATGCTCAACCACACGCGTCGCGTTCAGACGAGAGTCGAAGACCGACCTGAGGTATTGCGGTCCAGTCCAGTGTCCAATGGACCGCAATGCGCAGCAATAAACTTTGCTTTGAGGTGCGTTCTCTAGTACATTATACCTCAATGATTTTAACTGTATCGCTCAAACGTATTATCCTTATGAAGAGAGATAGAGACGTGCGTAATTATGCAAGTGAATATATCTTATGTTTACGCGAACACTACATACTGAACGCGACAAAATTTTGCAAAATGACACGAAACGCCTGTTACTTCTAATGTAAGCCATACACGCTACGGTCTACCGGAGAGGTGACCTGTGCAGGTATGCCTGCGCAGGTCAATCGAACATTGGTAGCGTGTATGGGGACGTTCCGGTGTACCGCACATACGCACAGGTACACCGTACGGTGTCACTAGAAAGAATTGATTTTCGATTTTGCGCCGGTCGCCTGCGCAGGTAAAAAAAACTGCACAGGTCTATTCCTATACACGCTCCGGTCTACCTGCGCAGGTATACCTGCGCAGGTATACCTGCATAGGTAGACCTCTCCGGTGCACCGTAGCGTGTATGGCCGGCATAAACTAGCCTTTCACTCGGCGGTATTACCCGCGTCCACGCGTCCACGTTATAACGTCCAGCCGGTCATGACCACACTTATTATGAGATCGCATAATACGGAGACCTAAAGCTATCGCTTGGAATTTTTTTTCATATTTCAGCTAATGATAATAATCGCAGATTTTAAGTTAGACTTAGGCTTTTCGAATTGTGCAAATGACTCAAACAATCTGCCTCTCCGTACGCCCGTACATATTCATCTTCCTTTTTATATTTTGTATTACAGTTATACGCTAGTGGAACTCCTTCACCATCCCCCTACATATACACCCCGCTCAATCCTTTTCCCCTTAAAAAATCTACTTAAAGCTTATTTAGAACATTTATAATTCGCATCATACTTCGTACCATCATCTTGTGTTTATTTTTTTTAATTGTATATTTTATGCACACCTCTCTCCTAGCCATTCGTTGTGAATAGTTCTTTGCGTAATAAAGTTGTCTGGAAGAAATCGCTTCCAGAGCGATAATACCACCTAGTGTACCTTTTTTATTTATTTAATCTTGTTTTTGTTTTAATCTGTATCGGTGTACAATAAAGAATATATATTCATAAGTTGCAAACAAATCAAAATAGTTTACAATTTTAGCTTTCATCCCCTATTTTGCCTTTAGACGTGGAGTATCTAAAATTACTTAAATACGTGTTACTAAGTTTCTAATCGAAAACTTATAACTTTTAGATGTTATTGTTAAATCGTAAAATAATTTCATTACACACCGCCAGTGGCGCTGATTGCGTATATTTGATAAAAGCAAAATTTATGCCTTTATAAATGTTAGCGTCTTTGTTGTGCGATAGAGCCACTCCAGTCGCACCTCTACTTTTTGAATCTGAGTACTAGAGGGTAAAGTTTTGGTTGTCATAGTTTTAATATAATAATATCACCATCTACTTACTGCTAAATAAACTAATAATAAGGACATAACTGGTCAAATTAAACACAATTCTATTAACTATGTACTTATTGTTGCAGCATCAAAAATTGTCAGACCGGTATAGAGCTGTGGCCACTGTCTGCATGTTTTATCATAATTGTCAATTTTAGCAAAATTATTAACAAAACTGTGTACACAAAACTTTGATTAAGAGAGAATTGGTTGAACAATTTCTTCTTGAATCAAGTCCGAAATAAGTATTGAAAATTAAATGCACTATGAGATTTACTTATATCCGTAATTAGTGGAATAGTTCGTGATACCGTTGATGCAACCTTTTTTACTTTTAATGGGATTTATAAAGCAGTTCGATATCTATTAAGATAGCTTTCATATTTTCAGACGTAACTATTATAATTTTTGTGACAGTCCCGGTTGCATAGCTCACATAAGTACCTAAATGATAAAGTTCTTATGAAAAAGTACTATAAATATCAAAGAAAACAAATTTTAAACACCGTTTTATTTTTATTTTAACTATGAGTAGAACTGCACTGATAGAACCTTGAAAGTCATCTGTATAAGCCTATAATCAAACCAAGCTAAACGTAAATTTCATAGTAGGTACGTAAGCAACTCAAATTAGATCCGCGCCGACTCCACTCATATTTTAAAAACTGCAATTTCGATTTAAGTTTCGATTTACCGCGTTCTCGGTGGTGAAGAAAAACATCGCAGGAAATCTGCATATTTGAGGTGCTAAACAAATATTTCGGAAATCATTTTTAGGTATAGGTATGTGAAGTCGGTCATCCAGCGTTGGATTCCACTTAATCAACTCCGTTTTTACCTACAACACGCTGTGGCCTGTGTCCAATAGTGGAATGTATTTAGGCTCCTACTTTTTTACTTTTAATAGGACTTTCCACTGCTGATTATAGGGTTCCCCCATTGTATGGCAAACAGACCGGGTATTGGCAGTAGTATTCACGTTTGGCAAGCGGGTTGGCAACCGCAGTTCTTTATTACTTTGCGCAGTTATCAAGAAGACGCTACCCATCTGCTGTTTCAGTTTCCCTCTGTCGCCTCTTAAGACACCCACGGGATGAAATGGGCTAGTGGTTTCTTTTTCACCACCTCTACATGGCTAATGTATTATTTCACTCCCGTTCATAAATTGGATTTCCAATAGTTAATAAAGTTAATAAATTTGGATATTTGCTGTAGTAGTCACGCTTGGCATGAGAGTTACCAACTGCATATTTTTAATATTTTGAGTATATAACTATATCAGGCAGGCGCTGCTGCCTATGTAGATTTCTACTCCTGTTCACGAATTTAGTTCTTCTCACGCGTTCTCCGCGAATAGAACTACATTTATGAAATTTCGAAGTCTACTCGAACGTAAAAAAATACTAGTATGTGTTGCTAATCAATATTCAATGGGACCAATATCAATAAAGACCATGAAATTGAACCTTATTTTATCAAGACTATATTATCAACTTTAATAATGAACATTCTGTAAGTAAAAATTTTCCGATTCCAGAACAATTTTCCGTAAATAAAGACATATCGGAAGCCCGATATAAAAAAAGTGTTACTTGACGTATGATTTTTATGCGATTCTGATAAACCAACTTATGTAGCCTATAATAGTGCCAATATAGACATAGATACCGACGTGTCTCTACGAGTGATCCAGTTTTGCTAATTTTAGTACGAAATAGTATTATCGATGTTTCTAAATTCGAGCCCACGCGAGCGAAGCCGCGGGTAAAAAGCTAGTTTGTAATAAATGCGATAAGAATGATGCTTATTGCTACCAAGAAGGCTATTATGTCGCATTTATTTCAGTTTCTCTGTAGTATTTAAAATTTTGAAAATATAGATAATTTTTATAGCGAAACCCTATCTTATGTTTGTCTCAAACACACACTTGGTCATTAATTTGATAGTCTAATAAAATATTTTCATAGGTGTGCACTTTGATACATCAAGTTCCTCTGTGATTACGGAAATCGCAACTGCGGTGAAAGTGTTCGCCTACGGTGTTGAGTCCTACGTCTCAGAGGCGGAGTACGCGCGCTACCCGCTCGGTACAAGACTTTCCTGCAGCGGCGCGGGCACTGGGGAAGCGCGCTGGTCTACGGGCGAACGTTTCTATCGCCATTTACGAAATGTCAGTGTCGAAGGCGAAGCTGGAAGACCGAACATTGAATTTACTCAGGAGGGTGAACTGAAAGCCGCCGAACTAAAGATAATGAATCTTAGACCAACTATGGGAGAACAAGTATTTAAATTCAAATTATTGTATATTGTTCCATTTATTGTTACACCTTGTTTGTTTTCTAACATTTTTAAATATTTTCAGTTAGTATGGGAAGAAATTGGAACATGGAACTCCTATCCCAAAGAGCGGTTAATAATCAAGGATATAGTATGGCCTGGTGGGTTACACACGCCTCCTCAGGGCGTACCGGAAAAATTTCATATGCGAATAACATTTTTGGAGGAGCCACCGTACATTAATTTGGCGCCTCCAGACCCCGTTAGCGGACGCTGTTCTTTAGATCGTGGGGTCATTTGTCGAGTAGCACCTGAAGTAGACGTTGCCGGGTAGGTAATCATACAGAAGGTGCTATTAATATTTTTATTTCAGTATATAATTTATTACATTTTGTTTGGATAGGATAGACGCAGGTACAGCGCACAGAAATAGCTCATTGTATCAGTGCTGCAGTGGATTTTGCATTGATCTATTACAACAACTGGCAGAACAACTAGGTTTTACATACGAGCTTGTAAGAGTGGAAGATGGTCGGTGGGGCACGCTTCACCACGGTAAATGGAACGGCCTTATAGCAGACCTTGTAAATAAGAAAACCGATATGGTTAGTGGATCAAATTACCGTAACATTTAATTTCTTATTCACTTTGTAGGAATAATCGTATAAATTCACATTCCACAGGTTCTGACATCACTAATAATAAATTCAGACCGAGAAGCTGTGGTTGACTTCAGTGTTCCATTCATGGAGACCGGTGTAGCTATTGTAGTCGCGAAAAGAACGGGTATTATATCACCCACAGCTTTTCTAGAACCCTTTGACACAGCTTCATGGATGCTAGTGGGCGCCGTTGCAATACAGGTGGCAACATTTTCAATATTCTTTTTTGAGTGGTTGTCCCCGAGTGGATTTGACTGTTCAACTGGCAACGATTCTAAGCGAATGCCACAGAATCGTTTCTCTTTATGTCGAACTTATTGGATTGTATGGGCAGTATTATTCCAGGCAAGGTTTTTATATATTCATAATTACATTACATGTGAAATATTAACATAGATTCATCAACATATTTTATTATTTAGGCATCAGTACACGTTGACTCACCACGGGGATTCACTGCACGGTTCATGACAAATATGTGGGCGATGTTTGCGGTGGTGTTTCTCGCCATCTACACCGCAAATTTGGCGGCTTTTATGATAACTCGCGAGGAGTTTCACGAACTAAGCGGCCTCGATGACCCGCGGATAGCCAGACCATTGTCCCATCGTCCGGCTCTCAAGTTTGGTACCGTGCCGTGGTCGCACACGGACGCAACTCTTGCAAAATATTTTCCAGAGCCTCACGCGTACATGACTCAGTAAGTATTTGATAATGTACTTGTTATTTTGATATTTTAAAAGTTATATTATTCATTTTCATTTAAATTTAACTTATTTAAATGAGCGCAATTTAAAAAAAAGTTCAAATAAAAGTAGCTGCGCCCCGCAGTGTCACCCGCGGTTTTTCAGTTTAATTTTAAGAAAACACACCGGTTAAGTGCTAGTCGTACCCGTGTAGCAATGGTACTACCACACTAAGCAACACTTACGGTCGCCACACAAGGTCAGTTCAACTGATCATTACAACTGATCAGTTCAAACTAAAACTGTTGACATTTTTTAAAATATTGGATTTTCGATATATCGTCCATTAGCTCGAGTCGGAGACGATTTGCCAAATTTTATTATTTGTAAGTGTTTGGACTAACAACATCATCAAGTTTGACTGTTGTATTACCGTTTTTTTTATTTATATATATATATATATATATATATATATATATATTATATATAAAAACGGTAATAGATAGAGCTAAATAAAATGTTTAAAAACACGTATCTTGTATAGAGAGTTAATTTTTCTAAAAATTTATTCGGCTGCCTATAACATATCCTAGATATAGGTAGTCATATATACATTTATAGATGGGAGCAAAAAGTAGAGTCCCCGAGAGATTGCACAGGTAAAAATTGAGAGCAAGGGCTAAGACGCTTTGTTGTAGCAGAGCAAATTGGTCGTGCGATAACCGAATGTTGAGTGGAGCGGTATTATAGCCTCCAATCGAATTTTATGATGATGATAATAAACCATAAGTAGCCTATGTGTTAACTGTTAAACCAGAATATTAGCTATATCCATTTCATATCGCTATATAACTCGTTGAGTTGTGGCAGCGTGAAGAAGTAAAAAACATACACACTCATTCACTCAGTCACAAACTTTTGTACTAATAACTTAGTGTGATGTAGTTTTTGAAAAAATTTTAATTTTTGGTTAGATTCAACCGGAGTACGGTAGGCGCAGGCGTAACCAGTGTCCTCACAGCCGATCTTGATGCGTTTATATACGACGGTACAGTTCTGGATTATTTGGTATCACAAGTAAGTACCTAATATTTACTTACACATAATTCTGTATCCTTAATGTTTAATAATAGCCTGAAACTGGAGATAGTTAATTTGATACAATCACTTTATAGGACGAAGACTGCAGGCTTCTAACTGTAGGTTCGTGGTATGCGATGTCCGGCTATGGATTAGCGTTTACGCGTAATTCTAAATATCTTAGTATGTTCAACAAAAGATTACTTGATTTACGTTCGAATGGAGATCTTGAAAGATTACGCAGGTCTGTATTAAGTTATTTATAAATGTTTGTGCGTGAACATCAGACCCATTCCTCAGATTTATGTTGTATTGTTAATCACACGCCTGCTCGTCTAACGAATATTATTTTAGATTTTTTATAAAAATAAACATAAGTGTTGTTGTAAATTTAGATATTAGTTCACAAGATGTTCTAGGCACGTCACGCTTATAATAACATTAAAAAAATCAAAAGTGCATGCTATGCACTATTAGTGTTCCGTGCCACCTATGTAAATTATTATGTATTAAATTATTCATAACCAGTAGCTACAGCAATTTTTAAGTATTACTTTTAAAAAGTGTTGAAAAAAATGCATAAAAATAACTTAACTCCGATAATTTTCCATTAACCCTATTACCTAATGAAGTGATGATGTCAGTGGTAAAATGATCATTCCCCTGCTAGACTATTTAACACCTATTATAACCCATATGTTGAACTCTTCCATATCCTCATCTTCTTTCCCTTCCCAATGGAAGGAGGTCCAAATCATACCTTTACCTAAAAAAGCAAATCCTTCAAGTTTTTCTGAGTATCGTCCTATTTCAATTCTTCCTTTCCTTTCCAAAGTTTTAGAACGCCTTGTCCAACAACAAATTAATTCCTTTTGTTTAAGAAATAGCGTCCTTAGTTCTCTTCAATCTGGCTTTAGATCTAGTTATAGTACGACTACGCCATTCGCCACGGTATGGAGAATCATCAAGTCACAGTATTGGTGTTGCTGGATTTCAGCAATGCCTTCAATACTGTTGATCATGATATCCTGTTAGGGATTCTGCGTTCTCTTAACATATCTCCAAGTGCAATTTCCTGGTTTCATAGTTATTTGTATGGGCGCCGGCAACGTATTCGTGTCCAAGATAGACTTTCTTCGTGGCTTGATACCGTAGCTGGCGTTCCAAAAGGTGGTGTCTTATCTCCTCTTTTATTCGCAAACTTTATTAATACGATTACATCCCAAATATCTTCTCTCTACCACTTGTATGCATATGACCTTCAAATATATTTACAAACAACTATCGAAGATCTTCCCAAAGCTATTGAATGTATCAACAAGGATCTGGCTTGTATTCTCGACTGGACACGAACTTATGAGTTGACGGTGAACCCTTTAAAATCCCAAGCTATAATTATTGGGAGTTCAAGAATAATTTCCATAATAAAAAATGTCAACTTCAACCCGTTATATTTAATGGTATACTTATCCCATATAATGAAGTAGTTAAAAATTTAGGTTTCCTTTTGAATTCCAGTCTTTCTTGGACTCCCCAAATTAATGCAGTGAGCCGAAAAATGTTTGCAGCATATGCTTCACTCCGGAGGCTTAACTACTTTTTACCCATTTCCACCAAAATTACGCTTGCACAATCTTTACTACTCTCTATGCTCGACTATGCTGACATTTGTTACCTTGATATCACCGAGGAGCAACTTAACAAACTTAAGCGACTCCAAAATCTCTGTATACGGTTTATATTTGGGCAATGACCGTGTAATACTACAACATACCACACTAAATTCAAGTGGCTCCCAATCCGTCTTCGTCGGAATACTCATATACTTTCTGCACTCTATTGCGTCTTATTTAATGTATCAAGTCCTCCCTATCTAAGAGAACGTTTTAAATTTCTTAGCTCTTGTCACGACTTTTCCTTACGGTCCAAAGAAAATCTTTCGCTTCAATGTCCTGTATACTCCTCGACATTTTACGATAAATCTTTTGCTGTTCTTGGAGTAAGACTGGAACTCCTTACCCCAGTCAATTAAAAGTGCTCAATCATTAAATGTGTTCAAGAATCAGATTAAGGAACACTATTTGTCTCTTTAACTCCTCACTCTTCCTCCTCTTAGTTATGGTCATTAATCTACCTAAAGTATGTTGTCATTTTAGTATATAAGTTTGTATTTTTTTTTCTAATTTAGTGCACCCTACCCGTTAATCTTATTTTTATTTTTATTAATTTCCTCTTCTGGGTTGTCTGGAAGAGATTGCTCTGTAGCAATAAGACCGCCTTTTGTCATTCCCTCATTGTTTGTTCATTATTTGTTATATTTATGTTTCGTTGGTGTACAATAAAGAGTATTGTATTGTACCTAAAATGAACCCAAAATAATTAATTATATTATATTTTTAAGAATTTTTTTGTGTGACAAACGAGCACATAGTCCATCTGATGGTAAGTGGTTGCTGTGGCCCATAGACATCTACATCTATCCTCGGTTACGAATCAAAATGCAGATACGTTGTCACCCGTGAGGACTAAGATGGAATGCCTCTTTCCAGTAAAAAGGGTCCGGTTCTCAACACTCACCATACGAAACACAGCAGCATTAAGCTACTATTTTACGCGGGTATTCTGTGAGAGCGTGGTCCTATCCCAGTCAAGCCGACCCATTCATGCTACATTTATACTATTAATATAACTGCAGAATGGCTATACCACGTAAAAAAGAAAGAAGGTAGAATGATAGTGCACTGTTGGCCATATTTGTAAGACCCAGGTCGCTCAGCAAGTTATGGCGGTGGGGTGTTATTGTCCGAGTATCTCTGCGTGATAGACTTCGTAATGAGAAATTCCGCAGTAGAACCTGAGTAATTGACAAAGATCATCAGATCAGTAAGCTAACGTAGTGTAGTGCCGGCCATACAACTCGTAGAACGAAAGATGGGGAAGAAATGTTCACGAATGGCAGCTTCGTGTTGGAAAGCGAAGTGTAGGGCAGCGCTCCACTAGATGGAGTGACGAATTGGTAAGAAATGCAGGAGGTTGCAGGTGGCTCAGTCCGTGCTTTGTGGTATTCCTTCTAGGATGTTCTGTCTATGTCAAGCAGTGGACTTGAAGTGAATGGTTATGAACAAAGTAGTGCGTTTTAGACCTCTTAATTGACAACCTACACGATGTTCGCAAAATATTTTTCACACCTCAAGAACTTATCCAATATGCATAAAATTTTAATTTTTAACCTCAGCCGCAATTTAAATCCATTCAACAATTCAATCATCTACGTGAAATACTCTCAAAGAAAAAACTCTGTAACAGACAAGGCGCCGATGGGATTCCATCCGTGTTCTGTATTGCTAAATTTGGCACGGAACACTAAAAATGATAAAATATGTTACGCATTATCAAAAATGCTTCAATAGCTATATTGCTTAACACATTAATAGCGTTTACATTCATATTATGAGAATTGACGTAATTAAATTTGTAGGGTCTATTCATTTATCTCGTGCCTCATCACATGCATGTATCTGTGAATGAACATTGTCTTGCCTCTGTGTTGGGTTGCCTTGTTGTTTTATAATTAAGTTTGTAGTAATATAATGATATCCAGTTCATTTGGCTTTTACAGATATTGGATGACAGGCACTTGCAAGCCTAATAAGCAGGAGCACAAATCTTCGGATCCATTAGCCCTGGAGCAGTTCCTTTCGGCATTTCTATTGCTGATGGCTGGGATCCTACTGGCAGCTCTACTGCTGCTTCTCGAGCACGTTTATTTCCGATACATGCGGGAGCACTTGGCTACCTCCAAAGTAGGCAGGTGCTGTGCTCTTGTCTCGTTATCAATGGGTAAGTGGATGAATAATTATGTCACCACTTTATAGTCTTCTTATTGGTTCCATACGTCCCAAATAGTTCCTTTAAGTCCGGTGTTTAAAAATAGTCTGACCTGGTTATTTTGATATACACAAAGAAACTATAGTTTTTATTGAAAGAATTATTGCTCTTGGACTCTTAACTGTTTATAACGGGAATAATGTTAAGGTATTATGATATGTTACTGCATTTTTTTCATTGCTGAATCAATTATTTGTAGGCCATACAAATAGTTGTGCTATGTGGGATTCGAACCGGCACGGCACGGCAGCCCGAATCATCACATCCGAACGCTTACCTACCGCTTTACCGAGGCGTGAAATTATATGATGCAGAAAATACAAAGCTTACTATACTATTTGAATAAAGTTATTTTTATTGCAATTAATTAAATATACATAATATTTTATTACATATAAGTGATATAACATATTAATTTTATTTGTTGATAATGAAAAATAGTAGACTTATTTTGAAAAAGTCACATCCTTCACCTCTCTTTCTATTCCATACCGCTGCCTCGATTCGCCTTAGTTAGTTATTGAGTTATTGGGTGTCAGAAGGCGGCCCCTAATTTGAAGAAAAGTATCTCCAATGAGTGGAAGAATCATGGCCAAATCTTTAAATAACGTTTTAAATGTAGTATGTGTTATTTTAATAGGACAATCATTATCATTCCACGGCGCGGTCGTGGAAGCGGCGTCGCGGGGCTTCGGTGCTGGTGGACGAGGTCACTGCCGCTCTGCGGTCTGCGCGGCGCAAGTCTGTATCACATATTATTTCATGTAATCATTCATTTCAGCCTATCAAAATCCTCTCCTGAACATAGGTCTTACGATTGTGAGACGGGTTGGCAACCGCAGTTTTCTTTTAAATTATGTTGAGTTGTTATGGATGAAATGAAAATTAAGTAATTGAACTTACCGTACCTTGGTCATGGATGAAATGAAAATTAAGTAATTGACGGAATACCATGCTAGCAGCCAAACGTATAATGGCTATGTTGACTACGGGTTTGATACTATATCCGATAATTGCGATGAAGTTACTGACGCATTGGTGTTTTTATTGGTCGATATAAACGACGTGGAAAGTACCCATAACCAAATTTTTCATTAAATTTGAATTAAATTCTGAGTTTGATCAGTCTTTCAAAAACGGGCCATAATTCTTTTAACAAATAAAATCATAATTTTGTCTTACACTAAAATATCATTCACACACAGTGGACTTGTGAAGGCCTGTAATGAATGAAAGAACACTAAAAATCACTTTTACCAACGTTGTACTAATGCGGACTATGATGATTTGTTTATCGATAAAAATATCGACATAGACCTCGCCCTGCGTTGCTTACGCATGTAGACAGCGGCACCAGTGTATCGACACGTGTACAATTTGATGGTATACGTAAATGCAATGAACACACACGTAAATGCTGTAGTGTGCGTGTATAGTGACGCGATTCAATTTAGCATTTTTGTAGTGAAGTATACAGTAGTGGGTTTTCCTCGCCTCCTCCTGAAATTGATAGACTTCCAACTAGTCTCAGTATTTGAGTGGTACTCTTCAACAGCATTTACTCTTATATTGCACTGCATTACATAATTGCGTAGTAACGCATACAATAGTATCAATATATAGTAACAGGCTGATGACAGCTAGCAAACGGGTCTGAGTAGTAAAAATATGAAAATAACATTCCTAACTTTGCTGTCGGGTCCCTGGCAATTCTTTACATTTTTAAAAGTGTTTTTCCAACCACTGATTACTGCAGTCGGCAACGAACTAATAATCTTACGCTCACCAGATGTCGCTAGTTGGGACTAAGGTAAACTTATATGTTACGCAGAAGGTCACATAGTGTCATCCTAATTGAAACGTTGTGATTTAAATTAAAAAAAATCGTTTTCTAGTGCTTTTTTAATACAAGGGTGGTCAAACGAGCATACAGCTCACATGTTAGTAAGTGACTACCGCCGCCCATCAACAACTCCAACACCAGGGGAGTTGCAAATGCGTTGCCGATGAGTTTTACAATACTTCAGCTCTTTATTCCTTAATTTTTTACATTATTAACTTTTTTTATATTCTCCTACTTTTAGATTATTAGGAATACCCGTAGTTTGGTTTATCCATTGTTAGGGTTCCGTAGTTACACAACATGCAACCCGTATAGTTTCGCTATGTCCGTCCGTCCGCCTTCAGCGGTTTTACTCAGAGACCCTAGTTGCTACAAATCAGTAATTTCACATAGTTATAGATATTAATTACACCTACAAAACTGTGAAATAAAATCTTAAAAACTTTTTTATTTTGGGTTCCTACCATGCAGGTAAATTGAAGATGTTTTTTATTTACCCGTCTATTCTATCGTGTGGGATATCGTTGGATAATTCTGTCAAATACATTGAGGGTATGGAAGAACATCTTTTCGATTCAAGGGAAAATTCATTTCTTCTTCATTCAGGGGTATTAAGCTTTAAAGTCGTATTTTTAATTAGAGTCATGTGTCACCCTCTCCCCCACCTCTACCAAATAAACCGCTGTTTTTGGAAATGATAAAAATATACCCAATATATAGCCTCAATATCTAGCATATATAATAAAGTTAAAAGGAAAACTAACAAAACTATCACAGCTAAGTAGAATTAACAAGTTAACGAGTAATAGTCGACCAACTTATAAAACGCATTTGGATTAGTAAAAATTTGGTTACAGCTCCATAGAAAATAACATAAAACTAGCTGCATTATAACTTTTTGATGTTATTGTAAACTGTAAGAAATAAATATATTATGAAGAAAACGACATATATTACATTACTTATTATATCTTTACTTTTTTATTTAGGCAGGGAGGATCTTTCTTACTTATTTACTACTTTCGCTTATTTTTAAGTTGGTAGTTATTGTTGCCTTTTTCAAAGATTTATACAATCATATAGCCTCATACATTTTCATTCGTCATACTCTTTGTTTACGCGGGAGCCTCAGGATAATTTCGAGCCCTAGTGGTTTCACGGGAATGTGCGTTACGGTCATATATGTATTATATCTTAGGATTACACTACCGGGAATATATAGATAGATAATCAACGATGACCATCTTTCTACGGATTTGGCATTTGAATAATTTGATGTAAATTGTATTATTTTCAAAATCGAAAAGGTTTTATTAATATTTTTTGAATATCGCTCCTTGTAAGTTATGATTTGAAAATAATTCCTTCTACCGTCTTCCTATTTGCGCCCATTTTTAGTCGAACCATTTTAGGCGTACTTACTTATTATGCTCATTATCAAGAAAGCCCACGTATTGAGGCAGGCAACTACGGAACCCTACCTCTACATTGTGCGTGGCCCGCCACGCACTTGACCAGATTTTTTATCTTATTAATAATTATCTTATCATTATAAAATATAACTAATATTTCAGAATAAAACATTAGTTGACATTCGCCGCTATGAAATCTGTAAAATATTTCTCATCATTCATGTGGAGCGCCGCCCTGTTGGCAAAAAAGTCATGGATACCTTAATTAATCTAACTTAGAATAATTGTATGTGATTGATCTCATTAGGATGGCATGGCATCGACGCCGGCAGCGTCGCCAATTATAACATATTAAATTCTATTAGAACGTACTTAACCTTACCTCACTTGGCGACGGCTTGGCGTCGACGCCATTTTGGCGACGATGCCAGATCGAACCCGCCCGCTTGCTTGTCTTGGCAGCGGCGTCACGCTGGTGCATGAACAAGCGATACTAATTTCGCCTGACATCGGCTTTAGCTACTAGTTTTGGCGTCTCATGGACGCCAACGGTAGCCATGGAAGCACTGCCGGCGTCGATGCCATGGCATCTTAATGAGATAGGGCTCTAAGAATTATTTGGCGTCAGGTGTGGCGGGCACGTCACGAACGTGACGCGGCGATGGCGCGTGCACGTCAATTGGCGGCGGCGCTGGCAGCGCACGGGCTGCAGCCGCCGCCGCGGCGGCTGGCGTCGGCCGCCGCTCTGCTCGCGGGCGGGCTGCCACACGACGCCACCCACCCGCGAACATTGCGCGCGCCGGCAGACCTACTGCCCGATCTCGACCGGCCGCTTTCTTGCGGCGATCTGCGCTCCAGGTACTATAATATAAAAATAAATAATCTAATCTTTTCTTGACATTAGGTTAGCAATAATGAATACCAGCGTCAAATAGCAGCTTAATGCTGCTGTGTTCCGTATGGTGAGTGTAGAGAACGCTTTTTACTGGAAAAGAGGCATTTTATCTTGATCCTCAAGGCTGACAGCGCATCTTCATTTTGATTCGCAAACGAGGATAGATGTAGATGTCTATGGGCCACAGCAACCACTTACCATCAGGTGGACTGTGTGCTTGCTTGTCACCCTTTTACTATAAAAAAGCCATAATTAATAGAATCAGGCGAAAATAAAATAATGTGTCTTACCTAGTTTGAAGAGCACTTTCCGCCCTCCCTCAATGCGTGAACTATCCCCGTCACCACTATTCCTAGTACCACTTCTTCCAATACCACTACACTAGGAACCAAAAGTTAACAACAAACGCCAGCCTATCTTCCAACTATGCAACCAATTGCTGGCCACCGTGAGGGTAGTTAATGGACACATTGCGAGTATGCATGTTATTAAGAAACAGGCTTAAAATGTTTAAGAGCAGTGATACTGGGATTAGTGGTGACGACGATAGCGCACGCAATTGATTAACATCTTCAATTGGGTTATTCCATATGTAGCAGCGAGTGTATCTCAGATAGAGCGACTTTTGTTTTAAATCCTCCTTAACCTCAAATACCTCCTAGGTAAATTAGTAATAAGTCGTATAAACTAAAGCCGCATTTTGTCATGTTATGTCGGTGGCTAGTTGGCACAGGAATCGCGTGCATCACCGTCACCTATGAACATTTGCAACATCGGGCAAATTGCAGGTGCGTTACCGGCCAGTAGAAGGGAGTAAGCTTTTTCTTGAGAGTCCCTAAGTCGTATTGGTCCATAAAAACCGCTGGTGGTAGTCGATTCCACAAACAAGTTGTGCGAGGAAGAAAACTTCTAGTAAATTGCACAGTAGTGGACCCCCAATCAACCAGATGGTAATATTTAGCGGTTGGAATTAGTCCAAATAATTTCTAGAGCATTCCCCATGGTCGATGCGATTGAATATACAAAGGGATGCAGCATCCCTTCACAGCGCCAAATAATTCTGCTTGCTCTGAGTGTACTTCATCTTAATATATATAAATTAGGTGTCACGTTGTTTGTCCGCGATGGACTTCTAAACTACTTAACCGATTTTAATCAAATTTTCACACCGTGTGCAGTTTGGTCCAAATTGAGAGATAGGATAGTTTTTTTTGCCCATGAGTGACCCACAATTTATTTTTGCGAATTTAACGATTTTTAATAGGACATGACAGGGGGTCATCGAAAAAGGGCAGAACAAAGTCTGCCTGGCAAGCTAGTTTTACTTAAGAACAAGTATCTTTTCATTTTGCATTTTAAAATTATAGAGTTATATAGGTACTTATATCAATTAAGCTGCATTGCACCAATTAATAACTAGTTTGATATTGATTTTTTTCTTCTCAGAGAGCGGACGCGAGTGGAAATGGAAACAGTGCTGTGAGGTGCATTTTGCGCCACCCTATTTCAATTCCTGAAGGCTGTTCTTACACCAAGTTATACAAGACGAAGTTAGTTTATATCTAATGTTAAAATACGAGCAGATAAAAAAGCGTTGTAATTATTAAATAAATTATTCCAATTATTAAAACAGAGAGAAGAACGTAGATAGCGAAGCGTTGTTGCAGGATGCGCGCGCGGTGCGGGCTGGGCGCCGGGCGCGCGTCCCCGTGTTGTCTACTACAATAAATATATTTTTTGGACAATATCTAACGTATTTTATATTATCTCCTTTTCCTTCCATACAACTTAAGAAACTAATTCTTTCATTAAGGGAGATTTTTAATTATTAATGAATAAAATTATAACAAAAAAATGGTATTAAACTTGGGTAATGTCTTTGAAAAGGCACGCTGAGCAATTTTGTAATAACGATAATATAATTTAAATAATTTTCTCTTGCATAAATCGCTTTCTATTCATAAAGAATAGTTCGAATGCCAACCCCGAGCAATGAGGGCAAATAATCTTCCGTTCACCAGATGTCGCTAGTTGAAACGGGTGAAAATTTTTATGATACAATGTCATATAAAGTATGGAGTGTAGAGGAAAGTGTCAGTAGGAAAGCGCTACATAGGTTAGCGCCACTGTAGCTACAGTCTAAATTTTAAAGAACTATTTATAATTTTTATTGCACAGACTTTCATCATTTTACAAATTATTTTATTGCTTTCAAAATTTTTATTTTCAAAATCACTATATTAGTGACCGTGCTACGGCCGACACTCGACTCGTACACAGAATATTAGTATTACGTAGCTCGGACCCGACACTGTTTAGCGTGAGTCATCCTTAACTGAGAAGTTGCGTTTAAAATAAAAACTTATGGGTTTCTATAATATTTTACAAATACACAAAACAATGCCTCAGTAGTTTGGTCCATAATATTTTTCACATTTTTAACGAATGAAAAAATTTTTATGTCATTGTCGTGTCATCTAAATAGTGTTACGAGCTTGAGGTTCGTGACAATAAAAATTGCCGATAGAATTACCAAAATTAACTCTTTAATTCACTTTACACTAATTAAAACTTAGAACACTAATAATTAACCACACTGATTCACTTTATTTCGCTCCGAAGCTTCGCTTGTCTCGCCAAATTCAATACTTCCCCGCTCGCATCTTACAGCGCCTTTAAATACACATTACACCGAAACATCCAGAATATTCAAGTAAATACGCGCGCCAATCGACTAGGCGCCGAAAGTTCGAGTGTCGGGCTTCTAGAAGCTTGGTTCTTCGTTTCGATACTAGATGGCGCTGTCGTTTGAGAAATTAGTGATGTCATTTTCTGGAAATCTCTCCTCGCTCTCGTCCCCGACACTAGATGGCGCTAGTGCCGGGTACATGTCGTCAACTTAGGCGCGCAACAATAGTTACATTAAAATTTCATTTTATTTTAAAATAAATAAGGTGACCCCTGCCTGTCCATGTTGAGTGTTACCAAATACTAAATGAAAGTAGTTTACCGTGTGCATGTAATCGCTTCTCAATCATCCAGCGCTATACGCTGCAGATAGGAACGTTTAAGTGAAGATAGCACGCTATGACGGTCTCTTACAAACTTACGACGCTGTACGCAGCTGATAGAAGCGGAACTGTATAAGCGTAACCAAAATCATCTCGTTATTCTGTATATTCATCATAAGAAATCCACCCTAGGGTGGATACTCGGAAACGCGTGTTCGTTTATCCACCCTAGATGGGATGGTTAATCGGAATTTTCTCCACCCCAAGTACAGTTCAACAGAAAACATATTCATACTTTTACATATTGTTGCGCGCCACAGTTGATAGGATAGGAGCGTCAATATCTTTCTAGAACTCTCCCAACAGCGCCATCTAGTATCAAATAGAAGAAATAAGGTTTCTAGAAAAGTTCACACTCAAACTTTCTGTATTTGGTCGGTCAGGGCCGGTATTTGCTGGAATATTCTGAATGTTTCGGTGGAAAAGGCATATTTAAAGCCGTTGAGCGCTGCGAGCGAGGAGCAGTATTGAATTGGCGATACGAGCGAAGCTTTCGGAGTGAAATAAAGTAAGCTAAAGTGTTAAGTGTGAATAACTATTAGTGTGGTTTAAGTTTTAATTGGTGTTTAGTAATTAAAGTGTCAATTTTGGTAATTCAATCGGCAGTTTTTAATTGTCACGAACCCTAAGCTCGTAACAATATTATTGATTAATTTGTGGCCGTAGAAGGCAAAGGGGAGATCTCCAGCCGGGCAAGGTGTTCTGCCCGGGGAGCGGCCAACGCTCCGTGTGATAGTTTGGAGCTGTCCTATATATACTGTTTATGATTCGGAACTTCGCGCGCGCGTCGTCGTTCGCATCGCCTGTGCCCAGTGCCTAGCGTACGAGCATTATCCGTGTACGAGTTATCTGAGTGCATGTGACCGAACCGACCGGATTCGCGGCAACACGACGCAGCCTTAGCGCTATTGTGTATTAGGTACAGAGTAATAACTGGTATAGAGGTAACTGCGTGTTGTGCTATAGCAACATCATGGATAACCTTAACAACACCTTTTGTCAAAAGGATCAATTAAGTGATAGCGAGGGTCCGCTCAGGTCTGGTAACATGAGTGTGGGCGAAAACCTTGAAATGGTGACACCCCCATCTTATGTAACATATCGCAAAGCAGCCTCAAGCTCTACAAATCCAGACATCAGGAGTAAGCTTCAGTCTTTCCAGAATAAAATTCTCAACATGTTGGAAAGCTACTTCTCACGGCAGGATGGAAAGATCTCCAAATTGGTAAAGGATACTGAGGATATCAAGACCTCAATAGGAGTTATGAGTGACATCTTCGATGACTTGAATAAGAAAATTGAGGATGAAGACCATCGACTTAGCGAGCTGGAAAAAAATCAACTTCTGTCTACCCAGATTCAAATCGTACTCAACTCGTCGAGATTCAGGCAAGGCTGGACTACATGGAGCAAATATCGAGAAGTTGTAATGCCGAAATCAGTAATCTTCCGGAAAGGTGTGGCGAGAACTTGCTAAATATAGTCTAAAATATAGCTAGTATTTTAAAACAGCCAGTTACTACACAAGATATTGTGGCCGTTCATCGCGTACAACAATTAAATCCAACTAGCTCACGATCGAAAATATTGGTCAAATTCTCGAGTCAAATATTGCGTGATAATTTCATATCTGCAGCACGTCTTAAGAATAATATAATATCTGAACAACTAAAAATTGAAGGAACGTCTCACAAGATCTACATAAACGAGCATCTAACGCTAAATAATAAAAAGCTATTTCGTCAAGCAAGAGATGCAATCAGACAACATGGGTATAGATTAATCTGGGTCAAACATGGAAACATTGTTCGGGCAAAAGACACCTCCCCTGCTTTTACTATACGTTCTGAAAAAGATTTACATAAAATTAAACCAATTAATATCGCCGAAACATAGTTTACATTTTTATATTGTATTTCTGTATAATTACGTTGTTACTTTAACTTTGGGTTGTATGATCGGAGAAGCTTAATTATATATTTGTCAACTTTATACACGCTATAGTGAAATTAGTTACTTAGTGTTTGCTCTCAGTAATTGTTGGAGGTGTGTGCTCTCAAGCGTGCATTACTCTGTTACTTTGCACGTATTTGAGTGTTTTACCGTATACCCCGTAATAATGTTCGTTACCTACCATCAGAAATTACTAATGATAAAACTTGGTTTTTACTGTTTTTATAATTTTTTGCGTACTGTTTTTATAATTTTATGCGGTATTCTGCAACTTATTCTGTGTGCATTACTAAAATATCGTGTGTGAAAAAACATTTAATTTCAGACTTGATGGTAATGTATAATCTAAACTATGATAATTGTCACTTTATTTACACAAAAAGTAATAAGTTATCGCCTTCCTATTTTTTAACAAAAATGGTAACAATTATTTATATGTTGTTTATTAAAAGAGGATAATAAATTAACTATTTACTAGCAAAACTGCAGAGGTTTCCGGACCAAACTTAATACTTTATACAATAATATACTTGGAGTGTTTTGATATTATAATATTAACTGAAACGTGGTTAATACCTAATATTGCTGATTGCGAGTTAATGGATCCCCGTTATTTATTATATCGGTGTGACAGAGACCGGGAGGCCTGTGGTAAGTCGGATGGGGGTGGTGTTTTGGTGGCGGTGCGCCGAGGACTAAGAGCCATTCGTTGCGTAATCAGGCCGCCACCAATGTCTGATGATAATATATCTGATGATGATGCTGCAATGTGCTCATTATTTATAACATTAACATTGACTATATAATATTAACATTGACTATGTTTTTTTGAGATTCGAAACATCCGTGCACCATAAATGTAGTGTAGTTTGTGGCGTTTACGTTCCGCCAAACCAAAAGGTTAACACATACGAATTATTATTTAATGCTTTTCATTATGAAGTGACTTCTAGTGTGGTTAACGATTTTTTTATTTTCGGGGATTTTAACCTACCACACGTGAAATGGGTTTCTAATGATAAGTACGCAACTATGCATAGATAAGAGTGTATATACAGAAACAACTATGCGAGATCCTCTACATAGTTTTACACCTACCTACCGACTACTTTCTAACTTTTTGTCAGTATTGAATGCCAAACAATACAATACATTTAAAAACAGTATAGATCGCATTATTGACCTCTTTATAAGTAACACTGATACTTGCAACTGTGAGCTACCACTGACTCCCTTGGTTCAAATTGATAATTACCACCCACCTTTCATAGCACATATATTTTTAGACGTATCACAAAAACCAATGATTCGTTGTGCAAAACCTAAGTATAAATTTATTGAAGCTAATTACGTTGATATTAATGGTGAAATAAATTCTATAGACTGGGCGAGTATACTGTACGGGTTCTCATTGGAGACGGCTGTATATATTTTTTATGAGGAGATAAATAAAATTATT